TCCCTTGATGCCCACTCACATGGGACAAAAGATCCAGCCAGTTCCAGGAGAGGCCCATCAGCACACACGAAGGGAGCACCTGGGGGCTGGCATGTCCCTCCACCCAGTCCTGTGTACATCCACACTTGTCTGGATGCCAATGCTGTGCTGGAACCTGGGGCTGTGCAGGCAGAGTGGGGACAGCAATGCCTTGCCGAGGTGAGAGAGCAGAGGAAGACACTGTGTGACTTCTGAGGCCCCACAATCCTCAACTGAGGTTGAGTTGGATTTGAAACAGTCAGTGACAAGAACAAATATTTCATTCTTCTCTCAGAGCCCAGGACAGGGGAGCAGAAAAACAGTGGTAGAGTCAACTCCCTGACTCATGGGCTAATCCTGCCCATCCTGGAGGCCTCAGAGAGATGGAGAGGAAAGAGGAGGAAGTGGGCCAGTGAGGCTTAAACTGAATTTTTCTAACCCTAATGCTCTAAACCTACACCCTCACCTGTACCCTAATCACCTAATCTATAACCCTATACCCTAAACTCAGGCCCCTAGACCCTTGGCCCTGACCTGTAAACTCGAAACTCTGACCCTTACTTCATCCTGATCCTCCAATCCTGACTCTACAAACCCTACAATAACCCTAAATGCTGACACTGACCCTGACCCAGGACTAAACACTAGCCTTAGTCTAGCCCTGACTCATGCCCATGCCTTACCCTAACCCTAACTTTAACCCAAGTCCCTTAACCATAACAGGTTTAAAAAAAAAAAAAGGGATCGTTCGCTATAAGCAAGTGTCTACACCAGAAATCCAGGTTTCTCAACATATTAAAACCAAGCAATGTAACATACCACAGTAACTATGTGACATAAAAACACATGGTTATATTGATATAGAAGAAACTTTAAACAAAATACAGTGCTGTTTCATGTTCATAAACATTCAAGAAAGTAAAAGGAAATTTGTTCAACATGATAAAATGTATTATGAAAAACCCATAGCAAACTTCATGCTCAATGTTGAAGAACTGAAAGGTTTACTCCTGAAATCAAGAATAAGGCCATGATGCTGGCTTTCCCCACTGTTACTCAGTATTGCACTGGAATATCTGCACTGAGCAATAAGGAAAGAAGGAAGATGCAACCACATGTGAAAGGAAAAAGTAAAACTGCTTCTATTCAAAGACACAATTCACATCATCTTATATATAGACTCTCCTAAAGAATCAACTAAAGGTTATTTGAGCTGCTAAACTAATTCAGCAAAAGAGTAGAACAAAATATCAATCAACAAAAATCAACTTTATTTTAGACACTGGCAATGAATATTCTGTAAAATATTTTAAGAAAACAATTCCCTACAGACTTGTGGTTACCGGGGGGGGGGGGGTAGAGGGTGGGAAGGGATAGACTGGGATTTCAAAATTGTAGAAT